AACCAAGGAGAAAAAAGGAAATGACTTGTGGTATTACTGGAAAAACTTGCATAAAATTAAGGTAGATTCTAACTTCAGAAAATTATGATAAACCTTGTTTTAATGAAAGAAGGATCATACTTGGGTTACATTCTCTTAAGCTCCATGCAGGTTAGTATCTGCTGAGACAGAGTCTGACAACTTCAGGAGAAGGGCACTTTCCTCTGGTCCATGAGTGAGCAGATGGCTTTGGAAGTAGTCAAGGCTGAGACTTCCAGCCACGTCCATATCCCTTAATTCTTGGTCTCCTGGATCAGAGAGGCAGAGCTTACCTATTCTGGAGAGCACATCCTTGGTCTCCCCAGGTACTAGCAGTTGTGACTTCTCTCCACTCTGGTTAGCATATTCCTGCAACTTACAGTAAGTTCTCCACATACAAACCTTCAAGTTGTGAACTTTCAAAGATGTGAATGTGTGCTTGCATGTCCAGTCTTGTAAGTTAGTTCATGTGTCTGATGTACATTCTTATGTGCATGCAAGGTACTGTACTGTAAGATTAAAAACATTTTCCTTATTTTTAATTTTGTTTTGTTTTTTATGCATTATTTGTGTGAAAAGTATTATAAACCTATTATAGTACATTACTATGTAGCCAATTGTGTTAGTTGGGTACCTAGGTTAACTTCGTTGGATTTATCAACAAACTGGACTTCCGAATATGCTCCCGGAATGGAACTCATTCATATGTAGGGGACTTAACTGCTAATATCATAGACTCTGCTTGGCCCCTTGCTGTGTTGTGCACTGCCTGAACAGGAGATGGCGTCTTACCATGAGCAGGGTGCCACGAAGCTGGCATGTCTGGCACCAGTGCCAGACTCCCTCCTTCCCCTTCCTCTTATTGGAATGTGTGTCAGATTCCTCTGTGCATCAGCGGAAGCTGCTGAAATAAAGTTTTGGGTGATTATCTGCATAAGACACCACCAATTCTATCGTGTTAATAGGTAAGAAGTAATGTATTTTGGGTAGAAAGTTCTCTTTGTGAAAATACCAACAGCCCCATTACAAAGTGGGCAAAAGATATGAATACACAGTTCTCAAAAGAAGACATACGAGCAGCCAACAGATACATGCAAAAATGTTCAGCTTCACTAGTCATCAAGGAGATGCAAATTAAAACCACACAGATACCACCTAACTCTAGTTAAAATGGCCATCATCAGCAACTCAAAAAACAACGGATGCTGGAGAGAGTGTGGCAAAAAAGGGAGCACTTCTACACTGTTAGTGGGAGTGTAATCTAGTGCAGCCTCTGTGGAAAACAGGTGTGGCGATTCCCAAACGTTCTAAAACCCCGCAATCCCCCTATTGGGAATATACCCAAAAGAGCTCAAATCGCTCTTTAAAAAAGATACCTGCACATAGCATTGTTCACAGTAGCAAGACCATAGAACCAACTGTGCTGCCCATCAAAAGAGGACTAGATTTTTTTTAAATGTGGTATATATACACGATGGAATATTACACAACCATAAAGAACAAAATCATGAACTTCACAGCAGCCTGGATGGACTTAGAGTCTATAATATTGAGTGATCTTCCACAGAAACAAAGAACTGAGTATCACATGTTCTCACTTATGAGTAGACCTTGAACAATTATCATAATACTATAAGAAAAGAATTGGCAGTAGTGGGAAACTGCTGGGACGGAGGTGGGGTAGTGGGATTGGCAGTAATGGGAATCTGCCCAGGGAAAAGGGAGCACACCTCATCAGCAAAGGTGTTGCATCATGAACATTTGTATACCTAACCTGAATTGTAACTCACATCTTTAAAATAAAAAATTAAATGTTAGAAAAAAGAAACAAAAAACATTGGAAACATTAAAAAAAATTACTCTTTGTGATGTCCTTATTCTCTCCAGTAACATAGAGAGGGTTTTCTCTTTTTTTTTAACATATTTTAAAATTGTGGGGTGCAGTTAAGGGTTAGGTATACAAATATGCATCATTCAGGCACCCTTGTTGATAAGGGGTGTCCCGCGGCCCCAGACAAATATTGACTACCGATAGTCCCACCACCCTTACCCTCCCTGCCCCCCCCATAGATTCCTACCACTGTCAATCCTTTTCTTATAGTATTATGATAGATGTTCAAGGTCCACTTATGAGTGAGAACATCTGATACTCAGATCTTTGTTTCTGTGAGAGATCACTCAGTATTATAGACTCTAGTTCCATCCAGGTTGCTGTGAAATTCATGATTTTGTTCTTTTTTAGAGTTGTGTAGTATTCCATAATGGGGTGAAGTGGTATGGTGTTTCTACATGCTACAAGGATCTTAGTTCACAAGTCTTGAGTAAGTCACAGGTTCCCATCTTAGTGGCTGTGTGCTTTTATGTCAGTTCTTTAACTTCTGTGAGCCCCCAGCACAGGTGTTCGTGCTTACCTTCCCTGAGTCCACTACTGGAGGAATTCTGTATTATAAACGAATAACCCAGACTTGCCTAGAATGAACTGTGCCATGTACAGAGGGCCTTTCTAGGGTGTTCACTGGATTCTCACTTCCCAACCCATAGGCTGAGTATTCTGTCTGATGAGATAACTGAGGCTTTATGGCTATCACAGGATGAATTACATATCTGATCTATGGTGGAGCTGGCACTTGAGCCTAGGAACCATTGGGGTTGAGTGGGGGCAAGGACTCGGTGTTGTTCAGCCTGGAACCAGCACTCTAGAGAATGCAAGTAGAAAAGGGAGGTTCTCCTTGACTAGCTTGAGATACTGCCCCAAAGTTTGGGGAATGGACTTTGAACACACAAGGTGATAGGTGTCCACTGTAGCTTTACCAAAACATTCCTCAATTAAGCCTGAGGTAAGTTCCTGTCACTGGGATTCTCGCCCTGCCCAGCTGTCTTCACCAGCCTGCAGCCCAGTGTTGACTCCAGTGGCCGTGACCCAGTCTTCCATCAAAGGAATTGGCCTCTTCCTTGGCCTCATGGGGCCTCCATGGCTTCTCAGATTTGCAATGTGGCAGGGTGTGTTCTGTGCCACTGGAAAGTGAGATCAGGTCATAAGGTAGCAGGCCCTGCTTCTGGATAAATGGTCCTCCTGTGCAGAGGCTCCACAGAGGTCCTGTTGTGGGGTAGCAGCCACTCCCTAATCATCCTTGGCAGCTGCCCCAGCAGTGTGGCTGCTCAGATGAGTGCTGGGAGCTTTCCCAAGCCTGGCTTGCATTTCACCTTTGTCCACTCTGTTGAGGTGTGACTGTCTGACTTGAGTCATTCTTGCCTATTGGGGAGGCACAGGAGGATTGTTGGGTGGGGGGACAAGCAAACCTGTTGTTATTCTTGGTAAAAATAGGAATGTGTACAACCACACTCAATGGGCACACATCTTGGGGCTCTTGGAGGGCTTTGTCTTCCACTCTAGAATATTCCTTCTCTCGCTTTTTTCATTTGCCTGCCTATGGCCTCATCTGTCCTTACTCCCCATGGTGTTCTGATTTCAGATGCATCTGTTTCTTTCTTGACTTCTGAGAGAGAGCCTCAGCCTGGGTTGGCTGGTTTTGATAGATGCCTGAGTCTTATGCCAGCAACTTTTGACTTTTTGGCAAGGACTATTTCATGAAAGTGACAGAACCAGGGAGATGGTTGTTCTTCTCGACCCCATGTACCTTCCTCTTTGAGGCGGGGCAGAGTGTTTTGCACAGCAGGAGCTGCTGGTCTCCATGCAGTAACCTGAGCCTCAGGTCTGAGAAAATAGCATGGCCCATGCTTAGCTCTTCCATTAGCAGCCACTGCTGAAAGGACACTGACTGGGTTTGGGTTTGTACCTGGTGCCCCCCCCACATCTATTTAGCACACACTGAGCAGGATATGCTACCAGGTCCATGGAGAGGAAACAAACTAAAAATGATAGAAAGAAAGGCCAGATCCCTCACCTTGAGGGACAAATCTGGAAGCTAAGAAAGAGCAGTAGTGAGAATCATGGATGCTTTTCTTCTAGAAGGTTTAGTTGGCCTGTGAAGCTGGAATATATGCCCCTCCTCTGTGTCTCATTAGAGCCAGGCCCTATTGCCAGTTGTGCCTTCTGTTTTCCTCCTCTGAGAATTTGAACATAATGTCATTTCCTCTTCAGTGTATGTGGGTAATTTGAATGATTAACCTAATTTGCAGGAAGGCTGTACATGGAATTAAGTTAAGCACATTTGTACTGAGCAACCATATCTGTCAGTACACTTAAAGGTGCCTTGGTGGCTTCATACCCTTAACAGAAGTTGAAGGCTCAGGAAGGATCATTGGCTTTTATTACTATCTTAAATGAATGTTTATTTTTTGCATTTGGCAGGGGCCTCTGAGAATTTTTGTTAGAGATACTATGTGTGGAGTGTGTTTTTAAACTCAATACAGAACACATCCAGGGCTTTGTTTTCCTGGTGGTGGTAGAGGTAGCCCACCAGGAAAATGGGTCAGGTGGGACTTTGTTGGGCAAGCTGGCCACTCTCCTCTGTAGAGAATGTTGGAGCTCTGCTGTCCTAGAGTCAGAAGAGGAAGGCTGAGTGCTCCTATGCTGGGGAATGGGGCAGTTCCCAGCCTCTCCTTCTAGCTTTCCCCTTGCTTCCTGCCTAACGTAAGCTTTCATTGTGGGTTAGACCTAGGGGAAGGTGTCCTTGAGTCAGACACTGGGCAGCTGCATTGACCACACAGAGGGACAGTGGCAAGGCAACCTGCTGGCTGTGGATACTGAGGTTGGCTGTCTGTGACCCACGCATGTTAGATGGAGATGGCAGGACTCACTGTGTACTTGAGGAAGTAGAGCTAGAACTTGCATTGTTCAAATAAATAGTACAAAAACATTATATGATGCTGTGTGTTGTTAATAAGTATTTATTATTTTGTGCTTCTAAATGGACCAGAGCAAACCTTTTGCTGTCATTTTCACAGAAGGAACAAGAAGGGCAGCAAATCAGAAAGCATATTTACTTTTAGTAATTTCTGATTTTTCTTTTTCTCTCTAGATTTGTCTTCAGTGAAGTGGAAGTTTGCAGATTCCTTAAATGAATTTAAATTTCAGTGCATAGGAAATGCAGAAACAGATGATGAGATGTGTATCGGTAAGTCAAAATAACATTCGTTGTTTGTCATAGCGTCCACCATCCTAGCAAAGCCTTTCTCATGGGATGGGAACTCTCTAAGGTTAGTAAAGATGAAAGCCCACAGTGAAGAGGCAGAGTATGTGAGGATGGAGCTGCTCTGGTCTCCCTGAGCTCTGGTGTTGCCTTCCTCAGCCTCCGACATGCGGGAGAAAGACTGAAGTTGTGTAGTAGGGCTCTCTCTCCTCTCCACCTGCCTTTAGTGCTGTTCTTCTGGCTGGATTTGCGACGTCCTTCCCCACCAACCCCAATCCTAGCAGCTTCAAACTAAAGTAGAACACAAGTAGCTGAGGAGAGAATTAGATTGGAAGTTGCAAACTGGAAGCTCATAGGCTGAGATCAGAATGCAGCCCAGTTTTTTTGGCTCTCATTTTAAAAATTGAATGCCATATAAATAAATTTATCTAAAGTTCCAGTTTTTGAGGTTGTTTTGAAGTTCAAGACTCTATTCTGTTACCCCACGTTCTGGCCTGGCAACAGCTGACTGAGCTTTGTAGCTGCCACTGCCTTGTGAGAGGATGAGGAGCTCACTGTCAGGTCCACCGTGGCCCTGCCTCTCCCTCTGGTTTCCTTAGCCAGAGGCTGAGATGGGTCGCTGCTGAGGCCCACACCGAGCTGTGTCACTCTTCATACCTGCCTCCATCTGTAGGGGGCCCCGAGCACCAAGGATTTGCCAGCATCTTGTCATTGTACCTTGTTCTTCATACATTGGGCATCTCAGTTGACTCCATTAAATGGGCAAGAATTGAGAAAGTTTTACTGAATTAATTAATTCTGCAAATGCTTATCGAGTTCCTGCTGCAACACAGAGCACCAGGTTCTAGGGTTGAGCACAGGCACTTGGGAGCCAGCTGAGAGCAGGGAAGACATTTCTTTGTAACTCGTGAATGTGTGGATGCTTTTTCCAGAGTCTCAGGAGTCCCGAGTATCCTCAGGACTGTTGCACTTAATGTTTATGGCCTTTGTAAATTATTCAGGTAGAGTCAACTGCCTGCATCTGGGTATCATGCTGCGAGTTGCATTCCATTAATAGCAGCCTTAGGAATCAGAGAGGAGGAGCCCAAGAAGAGGCCAAAGATGTGGTCTCTAACACCAGCAGCACTGTTTGTTTAGTTCTGGCACCAAAGAAAAGGCTGGGTTCTGACACAACCCTATGACAAAGGTTGAGGAGGTTGAATCCTGGACTGGAAATCCTTTAGCTCCTAAGTGGAACTCTGCCCTTCCAATCCGTGGCTTGGGAACCTGCCAAAAATCTCACCAGTCCTGGGTACTCTCAGGTCCGGCAGGCCTTTGCCTTGAAGAAATCCTTTGCTAGCTAGCATGCCAGGTAGAATTAACCTGCATTTCTGAGTCATCCATAATGGTTAGTGATTAAGAGATAAAGGGAGTCTTGGGAACCTATTGACTTTAGGTGTCTGCATGCACCAAGGAATTTGAGACCATACATAATCATCAGACCTGGAAAGGCTCCCCAATCACTATCCCCCTACCTCATGTCCCCCTTCTCTTTTCTAGCAAGGTCTTTGCAGGAGTTTGCCACTGTCCTCAGGAATCTTGAAGATGAATGGATACAGATGGTGAGTATGTCCAGGGAGTAAGGAATGTGTTATCAGAACTGGGTTCAAGTCCAGAGTATGCCATTTGAGTGCTTTGAGCTCTTGTGCAAGCCTCATATTTGTAGGTTTTGAAGCCTTTGTACATGGCAAAGGATTGCCCTGGTGGATAACTTTAGACCTGCATCGTTGTTTCTCTAAAGATTCACTGTAAGATCTGTAGGTAAGGTATATGACTTAAGGGTAGATCTTTTGAATTATTTCACTTTTGGGGACCTTAGATTCTCTACCAGCAGAATGGGAAAGAAGGTGCCCTACTCCGTTCCTTCCTCCTTCCACTTTATTAAACCTGTTCAAGAGCTCTTTGAGGGCAGGACTCTTCTTCACTTTTAATTCTGACACACCTAACATGGTGCTTGCTACATAGTAGGCACCCAGTAAATAAGCACTTAGTAAATGAAGGTAACTGTGGGAAGCTCTTCAGAGAGAGGCACTGTGCAAATATAAGATTCAAATGCTGATCCCTGGGATTTTGTGCTAGGATATTCTGGGTATGAAGGAATGAGAGATTGTCTATCCACAGGAAGCTCCTTTGCATATTCCCCTGGACTCCTCAGATCCCACGAGTGAACCTTGGTTTGAGATCCTCAGCTGGCTGCACACTGGCTTACTCCTGGGAGGGCCTGTCTCTGTGCAGCAGCAATACCTCAGGAAGATTCCATCAGGGTGCATTTTCTTCTCTTCCCCTACTCATGGTTTCAGCACTGCATTTACCAAGACAGTATGTAGTCAAATACTTCATGTACATTTTCTCTGTTAACCCTCATGATGATGCCATGAAGTGGTATCTATATTATCTCCATTTTCCAGATGGAGCTATTGAGGTTTACAGAGGTTAAGTAGCTTGTCCAGGATCACACAGTTAAGAAGTGGTATTAACTATGTCTGGATAGTTAATGAACCCGAGTGCACAGAAAATGTGGGCATTTCTTCAAAATGCCAAACACAGCAGAAGACTCTTGCCTTCTGCCCTGTGGAGAGAGATTCTACCTCTCCTAATGCTCATGGCCGGTGCCTGAGCCAGGATCAGGAGGGTAGTGGTGGCAGCAGCAGGGTGGGTGGTGGGTGGAAGCAGCAGAAAGCTTGTGTGTTTGTGCACGTGCTGGTGCCTGAGAAAGGGAAATCATTCTTTTGAGTCTGATTCTTGGCTGTGTTCGTATTTGGGTGTGGGGGGTGTGGTGAACAGATCACCAAGAATACCCTGCAGATTGCTATGGCCTGTGGTAAGGGAACAATGACTGGATTATACTTTCAGCTTGCCTCTGCAATTTTATTATTAATGTCAGTGAATTGAGTTTCTACATCTGCATCTGAGTATCTAGCCTTCACAAGTCCCCTCTCTGCCTCCTTGCCCTGTGACAGCCTCATCATCAATTTGGCCAAGTTCAGCAAAGCTGCACCTTCTTTGGAAAGTGTCCCTGACTCCCTAGGTTACTTGGCTACCCTTTGTATTTTCTTAACAGCCAGTCCAGGTTCTAATTCTACATGTACCACTTTGTGTCCTGATAATTGCTGTACTACACAGTAAAATGAGTTCCTCAAGGGCAGGGAATAGGCTGCTGTATCCCCAACATTGAGCAGAGTGTTGGAATTGAGTGAAGTGACAGTCACAGACTCTTAGACCCAGTGGGACTTTATTCTTCATCATCTGCAATTCTCCATTTGACAGGTGAGAAAACTGGTCTTGGCAAGGCTAATATTAAACAGTAGTAGGATTGGGATAAGGACTTAGGTGTCCCAGTGCCCAGCTGAACAGTTGAATGTTTCTGTATTTTAACCATCTGCTTTGGACTGGATTCTCAGTCATGGATGCCCACTGGAATAACTTGGGGGGTTTAAAAACTAAGTCTAGAGATTCTGAGTTCTGAGTTAATCAGTTTGGAGTGTGGCCTTGACACTGGGGTTTTTTGTTTTGTTTTGTTTTGTTTTTTTGAGTTGGAGTCTCACTCCAATGCCCAGGCTGGAGTGCAGTGGCATGCTCACAGCCACTGCAGCCTCGACCTGCTGGGCTCAGGTGATCCTTCTGCCTCAGCCTTCCAAGTAGCTGGAACTACAGGCACACGCCACCATGCCTGGCTAATTTTTTGATTTATTGTAGAGATGAGGTCTCACCAAGTTGCCCAGACTGGCCTCGAACCCGTGGCCACAGGAAATTCTCTCACCTTGACCTCCCAAAGTGCTGGGATTACAGGCTTGAGCCACCACACCTGACTGACACTGGGGTTTTTAAAAGCTTCCCAATCTCACTGTGCAGTTTGGGTCAAGAACCACATCTCAAGGGGCTTGGCACAGTTTTCTGAGCTTCAGAGACTTGCATGTGATTTATGGAAAAGATGTACACAAGTGAACTGATTAAGCAATATCAAATGATGATAAAAGTCAAACAAGTGAAATAACATGGCAAAACTCCAGTGTTAAAATGCACCCTTCTAAAATAAGTGATCTCAAAATCGAGAAAACAGCAAATGGGAATAAATGTGGAAGATTGACTTCTTCTGTCCCTCACGTTGTCCAGTCAGTTCTTTATTGCCCCCATCTGTGGCTTCTGGCGTTTACTCTGTTAGCTTCATTACGATGGGCATGCATGTGATTTAGAAAAAAAATAAAGCTTTGTTGCAATGAGATTCCTGAAATAATTAGTTGAGCAAAGAATGACAAATGAATGACTTTAAGGGAAAGATTGTAAACTAATGTATTTCCTTAGAAAAGACCAACAAAACTCTGAGAGGAGGGTAGTTGGGTTACACTGGTTGTCAGAGAATGTCTCCCTAGGGGGGTGACCTGGAAACTGAAGCCTTAATAATTGCAACTGGAGTCACTTCTGTTTGGGAGCAGAGTGTTTGAGGGAATAGCCAAGTGCAAAGGCCCCGAGGTAGGATGAGTTTGGTATGTGTGAGATGCCATGGAGTGATAGTAGGCTGGAGTGCAGGACCTGAGGGGTGAGCCCTGTGAAGTAGAGAGGCAGTCAGTGGTCAGGAGGCACAGATGCCTTGCCCTCAGTCCAACCCAGTTCTGGTAAGGCAACACAAAATCAGGCTTGAAAGGTTCTTATGCCACCAGATGTCCAGAGGTGTTTTTTTGTTGTTTTGACATAGACTCAGTATTGATTTACTTTACCTATAATTTGGGTGAATGAGCATTTACAAGATGCTTAGCTTTCACCTGAAGCTTGAAACTTAAACCCTGCTCTGTAGCCAATTCCATTCTATCTTCAGGTGGTTGCTTAGTTTTAGAGGTCCTCATTTTTACTTTTTAGAATCAATATTAATCGTGAACAGGAAGAATATTATGTTTTGAACTGATGGCTATGTTTTAAATTGACATGCTGTTAGTTTCAGTGTTGTGAACAGTTGACACATACCATATTGCTTACTAGAATTTTATTCTCAGTCATGGGGAGGCAGCTCATGACAGAGCTGTGATAGTTTTTTACTGATCTTGAGTTTATGTCTTTTTTCCCCTCCTCTGGTTTTCTTCACCAGATTGAGAATGCCAGCAAGGTGCTCATCACTCCCTTAGCGAAGTTTTGAAAGGAGCAGATCGGAGCCGCCAAGGTGAGAATTTTGTGAGCCTTATCCTTGGATTTTAGGGTGGGAGGTCTGGAAAACCCAACACTTTCTCTAGAAAATCTTTAGGAAAATCAAAGCTCACCTAATTCAGACCATCTTTTTAGGAAGAGAAGCTTAGAGTCTGACTCGTCAGTTCTTCACAGGTGACTGAAGTACGACGTCTGAGTGGTCACCCAGAGCAACCATTCTAGTATTTTGTTATCTTATTGTTTTGTGCTAGCTCACAAGTCATCCAAAGGTAGAAGAAACCACACCTTCTTTGTGTTAGCTGAATCTGTGTGCTTGAACAGTTGACTGTGTTGGACTACACATTTGTTGCTTTTATGGAGTGGTATTTATTGTGGAGATCTAGGACTCCCTGTTTAAAGGGAGACAGCTGGTACTTATGTGTTTTGCTGATTTTTATTGTACATGGAAATAGGCCCTCTCTTGCCAGTTCTTTAAATTTTTTAAGAGAAACTGAAAATCCAGTGTTATATGAAGTGTTGTCAAATAACTTAAGAAAATATATTATACATTATGCAGGTTAAAAAACACTTCAACCCAGAGGTCACCATTTACTATCACTGACCGGGAGTCAAAACTTGGCTTATTCTAATGTGTTCTTGAAAGCCTGCTCATTTTTAAAAGGTAAATTCTCCAGGGTTCTCCTGCCCTGTGATAAGTCACTAGGAAACTCTAGCCAGTTTGACCTTCGGTGAAGTGTTAGAAGTCACCTACAGGGGAGATGCTTTCATTGGAATCAATGTGCAATATTTTCTTTCTGTTTTTCTAAAACTGCAAGTCATGTCAGCTGCAGTCCTTGGGTCGCCTGCAGGGGGTTTGAGCAACCTCACCCTCTTACTTGTAAGTACAGTATGCATTTTACTCAGTTGCCAAGTGAGGTATTCCTCCTCCAACCACAGCCCCAACACACACGCATATATGCCCCTACCTAAGTACATTTGCTTTCTGGAAATAGATATGATTAGAACCTGAAAAAGATAATGTTCAGTCAAGGTCTTTCAGAGGGATGGCTGGGTATCGTTTGAAGGAGGGACCAAGACAAATATTTTTCTCCCAGTTTTGCAACACTTTTCTACTAATTTTAGTGCACACATTTGTGAAGAAGTGGGAGTTCATGGTTATTATCAGAGATAAAGGAATGTATAACCTGAAGAAAGTCTTGTTCCACTAAGATTTTGTCCATGACTTAGAATAGCCCAGTGATGGCTGAGAATACGTTGTGCATGCTGGCAGGCCTTCCCACAGAGGCCCCAGGACCTGTGCTTCCTCCTCCTGCGCATGCTGGCAGTGGCTTCCAGAGTTAGAAAGAGGTTTGAGGCAGAGGCAGAACAGACCTGTTTACTCAATCATCTTTTCAGTAGTTACTTCTTAGCACAGATGCCTCTCACTTGGGCCTCTTGCCTCACTCTGGTCCTGGGCTTACCACAGTTACCATGGAAGAGAAGCAGAAGTCAGGGGGCTCCCTTCGCTTTGAGAATCAGTGAGCTTAGTGACAAGAGTAGGTGCTTTTTCTCAGGGGATTATAGATAGTAAGTCATATAAGAGTAAAAGAACTTAAATAAAATAGTCACTCACCAAAGCATATTTCCCATTATGCATACTCTTCTCTCATTCATTAAGTTGTTAATTATTAAATAAATTTTTGATAACTATTAGTCATTAAAGGATTTGTTGACATTTGGGATGATTCTCATTTCTCCCCTTTTCTCATTTTTTCCCAGTATACCCTCCCCACCACCCGCATGCCTGTACTTTGTGTCATAGCATTATGAAAATTTAAGAGAAAGCAGACAGCAAACCCACTAATAGGCTATCTAGGGAGTGGTCTCAAGCATACATAGGAGCCACCAAGTTCTCTTTGCTGGTTTTGGGAGTGGTCAAGTGGAGGTTCTGAACTCTGCCTGTGTGATGCTAAAATTACTCCTTCTTCCTCCTCCACACTCTGGTGCTGCTTCAGTTGCTATAACAACCTGTTGCAGAGTGCTCAGTATGAAGGTTGCCAAGAGGAGGACTCTTGAGCATTTCTTGTGCTAATGTGACTGCTCTGCAGCAAGGGTGACCCTGGAGCTTGACATAGTAGTGTTAAGAGTGGGTCTAGAGTTATACTGCTTGTGTCCAAATCTCACTTCTGCCATTTGCATGTAAATTTAGGGAGCTTACCGAACCTCTCCATGCCTGTTTCCTGATCTGTAAAATGGGGATAATAATAGAGCTGACCGCATAGTTATCATGAGAAAAAAATGTGTTTTTATATAAGTGCTTAAACAGTGTTTGTCCTACAGCTATTTGAATCTGAGAACAGTGTGTGCCATATAGTCGTTCGATGTTAGCTGTTATGTTAGATACACACAGTTCATTCATTAAACAATGATGTGCTGGCTCGCTCTTGTGCCAGTGCTGTGCTGTGTGCTGGCATTTGGTCGAGAACAAGGTGGAACAAGGCTGGGGAAAGGACATTAGACAAAAGGATGTGAATGTATAAGGGTTACCTTTGTGGCACATCGGACGTGGAAAGCAAGTGCTGTTCTTGACAAGAGGAAGTAGGATTAGGTGATTAGCTTATCACAACATTACTGACATGTCTTGAGCACTACCCATGTGACAGGCAGTCCTCTAAGCACTGCATGTGCTTTATTTCATTTGATCCTAACAATCTTATGAGCAGGGGTTGTTTTTATTTTTATTTTGTTATACAATCTTTGAGCTGAAAGAAGAAGCCTGAACAATGATCTCATCTAGTCATCCTCAGTTTATAGATGAGGAAATTGAGTCCTGGAGAGGGTGGCAATTTGTTTCAAGTCAGTTCATACGGAGTTGGGCCAGGCTTCTAGCTCTGTTCTTCATCTTCTTAACCACTCCACAGTGGACTCTTTGGAAGGTGAAAACCATCTTGTGTCCTGGGTAACTCTGGGTAACACCACCCTCCCATCTCAAGAGCATTATCTGAATCATCGTGGAGTTTTCTCGCAGAGGTCTTGTTGCTGTTTCCCTTCCTCTTTACTCTCTTCTTTAACTTTGGCTGCCCTCTGGAACATGGGGTATGGGGTGCAAGTTGCCAGAAAGTCACAGAATGCCAGTGACTCATGTTCCCTGGCCTTTCCTCACCTCTGGCCAGCTGGTCTATCCTGGCACCAGGGCTCTCCATTTTATGGTTGCTGATAAGGCTGGCAAGAGTGGATAGATGTGAGCTGTGGTTGGAGTTGGAACCCCAGCTCAAAGTGGTTGATGAAGGAAAAAATTGCTTGAGTCTGGTCTCTTGCCTGCACCCTTGTCAGATTTGAAGGCATGATGTTTCCTCAGGATTTTTTGTTGTTTGTTTCTGCATGCTTCATTGTTCTTGTATGTGAGCAGTCTTTTACGCAAAACTCAGATTTGTAGAAATGGATCTGTGTCAGCTAAAATGAGTATATGGTGATTCTGCCTACTCTGTGAGGTATATTCCTGACAAATAGTGTCCTGACATCCTGATACCATGGGAGCTTGTCAGGGCTCCACATGACAGCTTTTTCCACTCAGAGTGTCCTGCCCCAGGGCATTTGCAGGTAACTATTCTCCTGCTCTAGAGGGCTCACTCTGCCCCTTCCATATTTAGTGGGTCTTAGCCTACATATCCCCTCCCCAAATGATGCCTTTCCTGAAGGTCCTATCTAAAGAATCTCTTTGATTGTATCCTGTTCATTTCCTTTGTAGCACTTGCAGCAGTCTGTCATTTTGCTATTATTTGTTTACCAGCAAAATGTGTTTCTCTTTGTACTAGAACATTCCTACCATGAGGATATGGACCACTTTTGTCTTACATTTCCAGTGCCTGAAGTGGAACCTGACACAGAGTGGTTGCTCATTATAGGTTTGTTAAATGAATAGAGAGATGTGTCTGAGCTTCCTTATCTGAACAGGCAATTCCCCCCAGGCAGGGGAGTTGCAGAAAAATAACACCGTGGGCTCCACATGAGTCAAAAGTGGGAATGATGCATCCAGTTAATAAATCTGATCCTGTTTATCAGCCCACTGCATTCTTCCCAGTCCCCTTGCCTGCCATCCCCATTGAAATTTGGAAGGAAGAGAGACTGCTTATGACAGTTTTTCTCAAGTGTGGGGGAACATGGACTTTGTAGGTAGATTATCCTGGGCTCACATCCCAGCTCTGTCACTCTCTATGACTTTTTATAAGTTAACCTCCCTGGGTCCAAGTTTTCTTATCTCTCAAGTGGGGGATAAAAATAGAAGCTAAGTGACTCAGTGACTTGGTGGGAGAGCAGGGATTAATATGTTTATTATTATAATACTTTTATTTCTTTTTTTTTTTTGAGTTGATTGGGGGTGGGTGTCTTAGTTACCCAAGCTGGAGTGCAGTGGCATAATCATGGCTCACCACAGCTTCGACTTCCTGGGCTGAGGCAATCCTTCCGCCTCAGTCTCCCAAGTAGTTGGGACTAAAGGTGAACTTTACCATGCCTGGCTAATTTTTGATTCTTCATAGCTATGAGGTGTTGCTGTATTATGTAGGCTGATCTTAAACTCTTGGGCTCAAGCAATTTTCCCTTCTTAGCCTCCCAAAGTGCTGAGATTACAGGTATGAGCCACTGCACCTAGCCTACTTTTTATTTTATTTTATTTTATTTTTTAGTAAACATTTTTTATTGTAAAATTGTGGGGAACAATTAAGGGTTAGGTATACAAATGTGCATCGTTCAGGCACCCTTGTTAATAAGGGGTGTCTCCCCATCCCCAGACAGATATTGACTACCATTAGTCCCACCTCTCTTCCCCTCCCTGCCCTCCCATAATTTCCCACCAGTCAGTCCTTTTTTGATAGTATGATGGTAGATGTTCAAGGTCCACTTTATGAGTGAGAACATGTGATACTCAGATCTTTGTTTCTGTGAGAGTTCACTCAATATTATGGACTCTAGCTCCATCCAGGTTGCTGCAAAACTCATTTTTTTTATAACTATGTAGTATTCCATTGTGTATATGTA